CTCAAGATCGTGCATCTTCTTGTCCTCTTCCTCGCTTTTCTTCAAATAGATTTGTGGAGGTTGAGTGGCTGACTTGGTCGGATCGCTTCCGGAGTTGTCTTTATCTGGAGGAGGATCTTCAAATATCGTCTCATCCTCTTCATTACGCCGACTGGATTCTGCTCTTTGGCTTGATTCCGGTTGGTGTTGCTGAACCTGCAAATCCCGCATCTGCTGCATGGTCAACTCTATTTCGGTTTTGAATTCAGCTCTAATTTCTTCGCGTTGTTTAGCCAACGCTTCCTGCAGCATGTGAGCCAATTGATCTGGCGTAATTGCAAATGATTCTCTGGCTTGTCCAACACTGGATGTGGTGTCGTCAGAAGCGACAGCAGAACAAGTGTCTGATAATTCTTCGTCCGAAGATAACCCCTCGTGCATTCTCTTGTAATCTCGTCGTAGGTTGGCTCTTCTTTGTAATCGCGCCATCCTTTGAGAAAGACCCTGCTCAACTCTCCCTCCCGGAGAGAAATCAGGGTCGGGGTTAACTAACTGTTTCTTTCCTTTGTTGGTCATGTTGATAGTGACCTCAGGGAATTCATCTCGTTGGATTACAGATTTTTTCTTGTTGAAACGTCTCATTTTGGGTTTTGACGCTTCATTGGACAATCTTTGAAATACGGAGACTCTTGTTGAATTATTCTTAGAGCATCCGCATTCTGTCAGCACTGCTTTGATGAGTCTCTCGCACGCGCAATGGGACTCATTCTCTCGGACAATCCTCTTTCTTGAGTTATTTTTCTGATAGTACAGCTCGTCATTATTGTGATTCGAGCAACCTATCCTTTGCCTCTGAACTTTGTTAACATACATAGGACGACTTGTCGTCGCCTCTGAGCGATCCAAAGTTGAATATTTGAATCCACCCCCTTGCGGGAGTGGAGTTTTCATAGGTCCTAAACGAGAGTGAATTGGTATTCTCTCGTTCTGGACTTGTGAGGTTCTGACAGGTGGGTGTTTACGACCCCCTGCATATGAAACCACTATGGGTTTATTTGCAGCATCTGATGGTTGTTTAACTGGGGCTTTGCCTCGATCGTCAACCGAAGGACCGAGGCGATCTGCCATTGTCACTTTAAACTTAGACAAATCTGGGCTAACCCAGGGTTTCACCGACGACGCAGTAGATGGGCCCGGAACAGATGCTTGCGGCGTCTTTGGCATCCAGACTTTACGATTCTTCGGTGACTTTTCAGACACCGTCTCTTTCTTGGTTCCTTGCGCTTGTTGACGAAGAGCGCGAGTTTGGGCAGCCTTCGCCTTACGCCTCTGTATCCGTTCCTTGAGGGTTGAACGGGCCCTTTTGACGAGAGTCCACTCCTCCGTCGTAAGTTTTGCAGAAATACAATTATTTTGCCGTTGGGGCAATTGAACCGCTTTCTGTTTCCTCGACTCTAGGTCCGCATAGTAATGGACCCCGTCGGTTTGTTGCATGGCCTTAGCCAATTGTCGAGCACGGCGCTGACGCTGTCTCTGACGAGCTCTTTTCGTCAGCACCGGTGAGCTATTGATCAACGACTCCGTAACTGGTGTAGAGTCGTTTTGAGCAGGGACGTTGCAAGGAGATTCCTTAACAACGATCGAGCCAGAATCTTTGTCTGCGGCCTCCGTTGGAATTGCAGACTTGAAAGTTTTCGAAATCTTCCTATATTTGCGAGACGAGGAAGATTTCGCGGATGAGGACGACAAGTACTCCTCAAACTTCGCCTGATCGAACTCATATTCGATCTCTTCATTAACGATGATCTTGATCGGTTGCGACACCGCGGCCTCGGCAGCGAGGCCGCTGGCTCCCACTGTGGTCGCCAGCTTGTTTGGTTCAAAAGTCGCTGCTGTGGAATTCATTATAACTTTGTTCGATTACAACAAATTCGAAAGAATAATCTTTTTATAAGACTTTTTCTACACAACAAAACAAAAATTACAACTCTTGAGAAACAAACACGAAAATCGTCTATCAATTCTCGTTTTCGTGGGACTTTGCCTGTGCCGGGAACGCTTTGGTTCGTGGACCGCCGATTCACAGATCGTGAAGAGGGGGCTTATGATTCTAACTTCGTTATCGAAGTAGAAATTGAAACGATATCTTATCGAAGTAAGATAGTCGTTCTTCTTAAAATCAAGTCGAAGCTTAATTTCAAGGCGTTGCAAGAAAAGAACTCAAATCTCTGCTCTCTCTGCTCTGGAATGCTCTAACAAATGCTCGATCCTCGTCAGAAGTGACCCTAGGGGGGTATTTATAGCCTCAAGGGTCAGTAACTGCAAAAACTTAACAATCGAAGAAGTCAGTACGGCGAGACAGTGTTTACTGTCTCGCTGGGCGAGACAGCGTTTGCTGTCTCGACCCGCGAGACAGTAAATTTGCTGTCTCGCTCAGCGAGACAGTAAATGCTGTCTCGGAAAATGGCAGTTTCCCGCTGTAACTGTTCTCCCACGTTTCAAACTCCATTATTTTGGCAATTATCCACGTGATTTTCGCCCATGATGTTTCCCACGTCCCTTGGCAGTTAATGGACACGTGTAGGGCAGTTACAAATGTAGTTTTGACTATTTCAACACTGTCTCGCTGGCGAGACAGCAAAGACTGTCTCGCTGGCGAGACAGCAAAGACTGTCTCGCTAGCGAGACAGTTCATACTTGTTTTGATTTTTCCAAAACAGTATGAAATCCTTTCTTGTGAATTTTTGAGTGATCTTCTCTATGCTTGGGATATCTATTAGCATTTTTTGACGCCTACACAAGGATCTCATGCACAAGCCGCCTATTCCACTCACAAGTCATTTCCTAGAGAATCGCCATGATGCTTCTCTGTGCAACGAATGACTTCTCCTCCAATTCCTAACCGCCACCTGGAGAGGGAGAAGGACAGCCACGCAGCCGACCTACCCTACACCCTGCATACTCTAACAAACCTAGAGCACTGAGAAGACTTCTCTCCCCTGACACCGAGTGACTTCCCTCTCAGTCGCCTGTCAACACCTGGAGGAAGAAAGATGACTCAGCAGCCTGCCTGTTCACCTTTCAAACTGCCTCCTGTGCATAGTCAACAAAAGCCGAGGGTCAAGCTCCCAAAGGCAGAGGGGGGCTATAAAAGGAGGTAAGAAAGGTAAGGGCAGAGAGATCTCTGGTAACTTCTTCTTGCACCTTAGCTTCACTACCTCTTTCGTATTTTTAATATTCCCAAGAGGAAAACCCCTTGCAAGGACCTCAATGGCCCAGGGACCTCCCAACAAACGCTCCCTAAGTTTATCAACTGACTTGACCGTCGGAGGAACCATTGGGGAAACTGGCACTGTACTCCTACGATTCTTGCATGTGCAGGATGTCAGTCCACCCCGCACGCTCAGAATCGGGCATAAAGTCGAAGGAGGAGCCGGCCCCAACATTCATCCTCTCCTTCTTCCCCACCGTCGCCAAGATCGAAGTTGCATCCGACAGCGGCAAACCCCCATGAACTGTTTGTTTACGAGCATCAACAAATACGTTATTAACATATTAAATATTGGTATTTAATATGTTATTATATTATTATAAGATATTTTATTTATTATTTTTTATATTATTTAATAAATATTACTAATATATTAAATTAACTATAGTATATTATAGTATAGTATAACATGATAATAACTTTATATTAATTACATTTAATATATTATGTTAGATATTATATTAACCCCTTCTAAAACTCAAAACCAAAACACCAAACTTAAAACACCTTTTAAGGTGTTTTGAAATAAGTGTTGTGTTTTTTGTTTGAGAATGGTTTAGCTCAAAAATCATCATGGTTTCTAAACGCATAGTGATTTGTTTTTGGCAAAAACACCATAGAAATAAATAAAACACAATGATTTCTAAACGGAGCCTTAGTTTTTAGAGAGCAATTCCCTTGTTATCAAGTAGCTAACAAGATAATTAGTTTTATGGACAAAGGAGTGACAAAAAACCAGAGGTCTTTCATTTCTCTTGGGGTTCCTTTGGTGACGTATAAATTTTGATGTTTGATTGAAGTTTTGTGCATTAAGTTTGTGAGCTCGTCGTACTTACTACGAAACCGTTTTAAAGAAGTTCCATAATGAAACTGAACTTTTTTTCTGATTCAAAGATCTTAAAAATGTATTCGTGCGTGCTAAATAGCGGTAGAAAACAACCGAATGGAATCGAATATCGTGATATTTGAATTCGAATTCAGGCAAATCACAATATTCGAATTGGGATTGAATAACGCAACGATGGTCATGCTCAATTTGTATACATAAGCTATTCGAATATGTTCATTGAATTAAATTTAAGTCGGAGTTGCTGGAGGTACTGTTGATTCTGAACTGTGCTGTTGAACTTGTTAAACGGGGTGTTGACTGATTTCATTGCTTACTGTAACGTACTCATACGTTAAGACCCTCCCTCAACTTCTATTTTAAGCGGGACATTTATGTAAAATTTGTTCCCGCCAACACCAGCGACGAAAAATATTATTTTGCCGCCGAGATCCGGAGCCTTCATCTGCCGCGTGGCCCGCAAGCGTGTTTAAAAGCCAGGGCCTCCTGCCTCTTCTCCTTCGCGCTTCAGTTATTATACTCTGCTCTCTCTCATCTAGATCAGTAATGGCGGCCGAATGCCAAAAGCGCCTAAACGAGTAGCGAGCGGCCAGCGCTGCAACATCCGCCGCAAACGACGAGATGATGTCAGCGTCAATCCTCGCCGCAAGGCCGTCCGACCCTATCTTCCGTCCTCCTACGCGTCAGAGACCCTAGACCCTAAAAAAGCGCAAACCCTCGCCAAAGCCCCAGTCGTCGTCCTCTCCTCGTCATCCGCCGATGCGGCCTCCGTACACGTGGGCGTCGCCCCTTTCCTCTCCCTCTCCGCCTCCGCCCCCGGACTCGCCGCGCTAGCCCGATAACCCTACCCGCCAACTCAACTCCGCCGCCAAAGGCGGGGCACCGCTCCTATTGGCGACGCCTTCGTCGGTGGGCCCCGGCGAAGACGGACTTTCCGGTGCTGATGTCCGCGATGTTGGGATCGAAGGCGGGGTTGGGTCAGGTGAGGGGCGAGGGTTTTGACCCGAGGTCGGAGTTGGGGTTGAAGCCGAAGGGTTCCGCCAAGGTTGTTAGCGAGCGGATAATGAGCGTTCGATTCTTGCCGTTTGTTGATCGGACGGTGGTTGTTGTTGGGAACAAGATTGGGAATCTAGGGTTTTGGGATTTGGATTTCGGAGAAGGGGACGGTGGTGGGATTTATGTTTATCATCCTCATTCGGGTCCGGTTTCGGGGATTTCGGTTCATCCCTTCTCTCCGAGGAAGGTGACTGCTTTCTATTTCGAAAAAGTTCAATCTTTATTTTTTTTTTTGTTTTCTCAGATACTAGTTTCCTTGGTTATTTCATATTTTTTTACGGTAGTCGTCTGAATCCATAAAATTGCAACTTTCTATCTTGAATCAGAAAACACTGGATTTTGATATAATCTGCTTAATTTTTTTTTTGTAGATATTTACAAGTAGCTATGATGGGTTTGTTCGTTTGATGGATGTTGAAAAAGGGTCTTTCAACATGCTAACTTCAAGTGATGATGCTTTCTTCTCGATTTGTCAATGGCCTGAAGATGTCAATTCGCTGTATATTGGAGAAGGCGGAGGAATGTTGAAGGTCTTAGATGAGAGGGAGGGAAAAGATTCGAACTTTTGGCAGTTGCATGAAGGTAGGATAAATACAGTTGATTTTAATCCAGAAAACCCACATTTGATGGCTACGAGTTCCTCTGATGGGTTAGCTTGCATTTGGGATTTGAGGAGTATGAAGAAAGACAAGCCAGATGTTATAAACTCCGTAGGCCACGGGAGGGCTGTTCATGCTGCTTATTTTTCGCCTAGTGGGAAATTTCTTGCTACTACAAGGTGAGCAGAAAACGATCAGTGTCTTATTTTTCTAAAAATGTTGTTGTTTGCGGCCACTTTATATCCTACAAAAGTTTCTTTACTTTTGAGTTCTTGTGACTATTTTGTTTATTTTGGTGATTGTTTAATGTTGAGGACAAATTTTCAAAACCAACCCTTTTGCAAAAATATTCCTCAAAAATGACACGTTTCAACTTTAATTACCAAAACCGATCTAGTTTCAGGGCTGAAACTATTGATGTATCTCATGAAAGTGGGTCTTTTTTTTGGACGTTCTGAACTTCATTTTTTTTAGGATTCGTAAGGTGGACAGCCCAGAATTTCCCCTAGCTATGGCAGAAATATTCGTCTAAAATCTAGATCTAGTTCTTTGCAACATATATTAGTATGCTGAAGCTTTAATTGTTCGTTACAGTCTTGACGATAAAGTTGGTATCGCAAGTGGCACCGACTATGGAGAACTGTCAATGGTATCGCATTACAATCAGACAGGGAGATGGCTATCGGCTTTCAGGTATGCTTTCTCATGACATTTCTTCTAATTTCTCAGAAAATTCATATTTTCCCCCCTTTAAGAAGATAGCTGCAATTTCTTTCTCATAATAGTTGCGCCAATTATTACTTTCAGAAAGCAATTTCCTTGCACATTGCTCACATTTCTCCTCAAGATCTTTCAATCTCCTAGCCCACAATCCTTCATGTCCCCTTAAAATTAAAACCCCTCTACGATCGACTACTAGGATCGAAATAGTGGGTAATCACAAAAAGACTCGATATAATTGATACATATTCAGATAAAGTACACATGCCTCCCGTCAGTTCTCTCTCAACTGCACAAGCAGCTAAGGGAACGTTTCTTCCGTGTTTACAGGGCGATATGGGGATGGGATGATTCGTACGTATTCGTCGGAAACATGAAGAGGGCAATTGATGTTATATCCACCGCCAACAACACAACGACATCCCTCGATAGCCCAGATATAATGACTTCAATCCCCTGCAGGTTTGCTGCTCACCCTTACAAACCGGGGCATCTAGCTGGCGCAACGAGCGGAGGCAAGGTCTTTTTGTGGACGAAGGAGTCATGAA